ACTATACAAATATTTAGTAATGGATTGAATATATTTAGATATATCTGCATATTCTACTTGTATACTCAATTTCCAGTTTCAATGTCTTGGAAATTCAAAATGCTGTCTACATTTAAAAGAACAGCAATATTTAATGACTGAAACGAAAAAATTGTTGCCACTTAAGACATTTTCTGAATAAAAATCAACAGAAAATATAATTGCGGGGAAAAAGATTATGGGATGTAATGGCCTCACTGTTTCATTTGTATTTTCTAATGTTACCATTTGTGTCATGCTTTGCTGGGAACATAATTTCAACTCAAAGACTCTTATGGCAAATGACATAATTTCGCTAACGATCAAGAGGTACAATGACCGAGACTAATTGCAACTCTATTTTCCGGCTCAAACAGAGACATGACGGTGAATTGCATGATATTTGACAAATAGAACAATCAGCAATATTAAATATTGTCATTCGGAGATAACTCATTATATATTCAACTCTAAAACACTTTTTATTAACTGAAATTTCTCCATTATCTAATAAATGATAAATTACAACCAATTTTGTAACTTCCCACAATTATCGCCCAGTATGGATGCCCACTTAATTACAAAAGGATGAAAAACTTGGAAATGTGACAGTATTGGAATTTCTGAATTAAACATGGAGAAAGGATAGCCTGTTGAGCAAAACCCTTGCAAAAACACGTTGTTCAATATGAAACTCTTTTATTCAAAAAAGTAAAAGTAAGAAATATCTGAGTCTCAGGTATATTCTATGGATGTGCTCCACATGCTTATGTCACACATCATTATTTAATAGCACCAGTTAATTCATGTTAATGTTCTGTTTGACTCCTGCAGCTCTTCATATTGTAAGGGTTCACTGTGTATAATAATGGGGTTAATATGATTTGTTTGGCATTCATGGTTGTGCTAGATCATCAAATATAAACAAAATATAAACAAAACAAAATGAACATGGTCAAAATTTCATTTTTTAACATTCTTATCCTAAAAATGAAGATGCCAATTGGGTCAAAAGATACAAAATAAATGAAGTTCATTTTAGTTCATTTTTTCACATAAATCATGTGAGGGCAACTGGAAAAATAGAACAAGGGATTAAATAATTATCACATCATGACAAAGTGTGTGAACATGCATGTATGAATATGACATAAAATAATATAATACCCCCATTCACAACTCATTATGTAGTTATTATTCCCATTACTTTATTTCACTCATATCGTGTCATGTGAACAAGCCACAGTAATCAAATTCAAACTGCTAAATTGAGCACATGCGGAGGTAAATACCACGACCATGAGAACAATATTTCTTTTTTTGTAGTAGATAGTGATAGAGTTTTTCCTTACAAATTAACATTTTTCCAAGATCCTTGGATATCAGACTGGGATATGTGGTGTTCAAGGTTGGGCCAGGACATGTAAAAGACTTCCTTGAAGTGATTATGTGATGAAGACGAGTTGACGCAAAATGTGTACAAAGATGCAGGTGTTATTCATGTCAATTGGTGATAGGGAAGGATTAAAGGGATTAGAGAAGAGGAAGTTTTCAATGTGAATAAGTACATCGAGGGTTTAATAAAAATTAATCAAAAATCAATCAATTACATTATGGAATTTTTGGTACTATTCATGTTTGAAAATGTTTCAAATATTCAATGTGCTTCGAAATGTTTAAATAATATCCAAGGGTTATTACCAGGATGGGAACTCAAGAAAAATGATCATGTTTAAGAAGCAATATTTGAATAAGAACTTAAACAGACACCAATTAGACATAAACTTAACAGTCCACGAGAGAAATGCTAGAAAGTCAGAATGTCCATTCAAAAGTTAGAAGACGAAGGATATGGAAAAGCATTACATTACCCAAGGGGAATTCTAAACTGGTATAGGGACATACATTCCTCTGCTTATTTGCTGTTGTCCACTTAGCAAGATATAAACACGAACCAACATCACTTGAGTGGCATTTAAGCCATTGCCCTCGGACAAAACACAACGAATAAGAGGCTTTTGTTTAAAACATCTAATTATCCGCACTTTCATCAGTGCTATGTAAAGTTCAGAGAGGACCAGCAGGTATTTGTGGATGAGTGAGAATGTCAATAAATAAAAAAACAACATTCTATAACGTACAAATATATTTAATAACACCCTATGTATGCTTATCCCATGTGCCCCAGTTGATGACACACAAGGTACTGTTGTCCCATGTGCCCTTGTTGATAACACACCACATACTGTTGCCCCATATGCTCCAGTTGATAACACACCACGTACTGTTGTCCCATATGCCCCAGTTGATAGCACACCATGTACTGTTGTCCCATGTGCCCCAGTTGATAACACACCGCGTACTGTTGCCCCATATGCCCCAGTTGCATACAATAACAATAATACTAGATACAGGATATTCTTTTATCTAACATCTATTTTCATCCAATAAATCCACATACCTAAATCATTTGCTACATATCATTTGTAAACAATAGAAATTCAAATCATCTGATCTTAATGGGGGATTATAATGGAGTATTATAAAGATTAAAATTAAACACAAAAACAATAGAAAAGACGAATTTATAAATGGCAACCATGGGAAGCCAAAGATGGACCTAATGGTCAGATCATACGAGTAAATTGGAAACTCAAGAAAACAAAAGGGATTCCAATTACGAGAATTATGATTATGATGTTCGATTATGATACAGTTTACATGCAATAACAAACATATATCATAAAAGGTGAACAATATAGTGATATCTATTACCACTGGATTCATAAAGATGATGCTATTATGACAGCTTAGTGTTGATCCAACAGAGCTAAGACAAATGCTTGCAACAGATCAAGGAATATAATAACTATGTAATGATACATATGCACATTAAGAGATACTGAGGCCAAACATACTGAAGCCAAACATACTGAGGCTAAATATACTGAGGCCAAACATACTAAGGCTAAATATACTGAGGCCAAATATACTGAGGCTAAGTATATTGAGGCCAAATACAGCAGAAAAATAAAGCTTAATGAGACCAAAAAACACACAGGCAAAGCATAAAGAGGGTAAACACAAAGAGGTCCACACATTTGCTGGTACTGTTAATATGTATTCTCATGACCAGCATTGTTATTCAATTTGTTTCAGCCCAATTACACCATGAAAGATAGTGCAAGTGAAGAGTGCACCTATTAACTTAATTATGATTACAAATGAAAGTAGTAAGTACTAATTAGTGGATAATTGGTATTCTCAGCATATAGTAAAACACCTCTACAGGTATCAATGTAAAGCTGATTTATACTTGTCTCATAGTTGCATCTTCGATTTTCAAAGTTTGAAGTTAAAATGGTAAAAAAATTACATCATATATTACATGTTATGGTGTTTCAAAAACAAACATATAAAAGCAAAATAGATGAGAGAGGACTCAAACAATAGGGAATGAATATATAATAATACATAGTAGTGCTACAAAAAGAAATGTCCAATGAGTTCTGACAATTCTAAAGTGATGCCCTCAAACTAAACAAAACAAGTACTTTTACAACTTATCACAAAAAGGAGAAAAAAGTATTAGAGGACTTAGGTTCAGTATCTTTCCTATCTGTCTGCTATGGTATTCTGAATCTTATCTGATGTGTTTATTTTTCTCTTTTTAGGCTTTCTCTCTAAATTATGAATGAAATGCATGAATTTCTGGCATTTCTATATAATTTAGAGTGTTGACTACATGCCTGTTTACTTAATTCCTTACTAATTTCACACTTTTTCACTTTATTTTCTCTTTTAAATGTGACTATAGTGAAGTTTTCTCAGAGGCATTCCCCAGCATGAACTCTCTTCACTTTCTAGAGCAACACATTTATATGGCTAATGGGACACCTAATAATGTGCAAAGGGGGTTAATTAAAAGTGAAAACAATACTGAGATAATACCAGGCTATTCTACCATTTTATGAAGCATCCCATTGGCCAAGTTTTAAAGTGCAAATAAAGTCAAGAAAGTGAAACTTAACAATAAATAGACTGAAAAAAATGTTGAAGCAAGAATCTAAAATATATGAAAAATATATGAAAAAACAAGAAAATCAGAAACTTTATTCAAATTTTAGAGAGAAATTGAGTGTAAAATAAGCATGATGAGCAGACGGAATTTCTGCCAAAGGTTAGTAATCTAGCTATTTGCAGCCTTGCCTTAACTCACCCCAATGAACAATAGGATGTATCAGATAAGATTTGAAGGTCAGGGCTAGAGATTAAACAGTTTAACAGCAGTCTTGAGATGAAGTTGTCTTAAGAAAGACACCCAACCCTGATCTATGGACCTATCGCCTAATATCTCTCTATGAGGGATCAAAACACTCTGCAAATTCACTTTTTCACCCTAGTTTTCTGTATTAATGTTCAGAGACTATCAAATCTCTTTCTGAAGGGGTAACTAGTGAATGAATGCCTGTGTAATGTTCTCCCAACATTTTTAGTGTATAAAGCTATGAGAATAGGGACTGGACTAAATCTAATGGCTAAAATGGCCTTAATCTTCCCATCAAAAATCATGTAAAATCTCCAAAGTATCCCATGCCTGTATATAGCATACTTATTGCTATTGAATAGTTTTTGTTTAAATTCCAAGAGTTCTGTTTTTTTGAAGAAGCTAGAGGGGTATACTTAAGCTAAGATAAAGGATTTAATCTGTAATCCACAAATGTTATTTTTTGTCTAAGTAGGCTAATGATTTTAGGTACAAGATAGATTGTTCCATGCTCCTTCAAGCCACATGATGGTGGATTAAATCTAATAGCAACATTATCAATGTCTTATATTATCGTAAGATTAAAAACAGAAAGCCCGGATCGTAAGTGGAATTCTACGGAATGCACTTTGAAATAAAAGTGGTTATTGTTTAATGAAGACTGAGTCAATTACCGCATATACGCGTAGACATTGATAGATACCAAAAATCCTACCTGAAGGCTTTTAACATGGAAATAATCCCCCGCTGAAGTGGATTAAAAGTGCGAAATAGATGTTTTAGCATGTGCACGCCCCTCACTTCCAACGCCTGTGTTATATCAACGTTTCTAAAGAAAACAAAGGTTTAATTAGAAATCGGAATCTACTCAGTGAAAATTGGAAATCGAGAAATGATCCGTTGATCAAGCTGATAAGGCTTGTGGAAGATCAGTGATCATTTTCTCAGTGTTCTGTTTTGTTTGGACGGCAGAATTGTGATGAAAACTTATCCCAGTCAGCTAAATCGAGGGTCCAGAATCGGGGTAGAGTTCATGATTATATTAGTATAAGTGAGATTATCTACCACGCTACCGCGTCAATGTGTTCACCAGGTTTGAATCCCCCAACCTTGCACAGACATTTTATTTATTTTCATAGCTGGGTTCAGAAAAAAGTACCAGGTATAAATGAATTTGTTAATTCAACACAAATGGTCAATTTAGCACAAAATTCCAAAGAAGTAATAAAAACCTAATTTTTCCGCCTGGTGAAATAATTAGCCACCAGAATCAGCAGATGTAAAGTGAAAATATTTTACCACAAAAATAAAAATAAATATCTTTGCGGAGACCGATACTAATAAAATACAAAACCAGATTCTCATGGAAGTCAAATATTGTACTTATCATCACAGCGCTCCACTTAATGCTTCTTTTTTTAGATTGTAAATTAAATTGAAAAATAATTGGAAAAATAAGGGAACCTTACTCCATCAAGGAAGTACAGGTGTTCTATTTATTTTATTTGTCTCTTATGTCCAAAATAAACACAACTAAATCCGAAGGCTTACAACTTTATTGCTTTTTAATTCTTAAAATATCCATCTGTTCATTTGCTATTTTTCTCAATTTCTCTTAATAATATGAATAAAGTTTCTAATTTTCTTGCATTTCTGTATAGTACAAAGTATTTATATCATGATTGAGTATTTCATTCCTTGGTAAATCCTCACTTTTCCATTCTAATGAGAACTTTAAATCATGCCATAGTGATACTTTACATCAGGGGTTTCATAGGACTGTTTGCATTGTATGTTGGTATAATGTAATTAAAATACACAGGATGCATGACTTCATTGGTGAAATGTCATTCCAGTTCAGAAAATATAGAAGTTGCAAAAACAAACTTGACTAACATTAGCTAACGTTCATTTTTTGATAAAATTTGAAAAAGGAAGTGGCATGTTAAATCCAGCTTTTTTATTATTGTATTAAAACATGTAAAGTGTCCTCTGATTAAAATCTGGCAAAATTCAATGTCACTCTGGCCTCAGAGCTTTGAGGATGGTAAATAGAGAATGAACATATCTAGCATGTACACCCCCATCCATTTTGGTAACTGGAAGTTCGACAGCATATAAATTTTATGATCTTTTAAATCTAATCAGGCTTTGATTGATCATGAGCTTTAAACTAGAAGGCTTCTAATTGAAAGTCCATGGATTGATATATGATTCAAAAGGGGACATAAATTGGGTCTAATATATTCATATGATCCAGTTGCCAAACTTATGGTGGGGAGTGTATACCACATTTTATGTATCATGGGATTAGTGAACTATCTTCAAGATCAGTAAAACATGGTCGAGAAAATTGAAACACTGATAACATTTATTCTTTATTTTTTCAAATGAGGTGAATAAATATTAGAATTTTTCTTTTGCTTTCAAGATCATGATGAAGATTTAAAGAAGTTGAATTATGGAAATATGACTTGTATTAGTTTAGGGACGAACTCATCTTCTACATATTAGGAGTAAGAGTGACACAATACAAAGTATATGTGGAGCTCATCAAGCCACCTGTATTTATAAATATATATGTATAGATAACAAATCAATTTTTTATTTATTAAGTCTGGTCAAGGTAACTTTTGTTTGTTATATGTCTGGTAACCGTGGTACTGCATCTGATGCAATAATCAGATGACATCACTATGTGCCATCCAGCCGTATATCACATTTGTTATTGTTAGAAGGAATAAATAGATTCAATAAATAACCAACACCTGGTTAAAGTATACATGAACTAAGGTAAATAAAAATATAAACAAGTCATTGTGGAATAGTATAAGTCAGTTAAAATGGACTTGTTGATTTACTAGTGTGTTTGTGGACTGACCAGACCATGAATCAAAACAAACCGACAATCTAATGAGCAATGAGAATCTCACATTTAAGTCCCCAGGTCAATTTTGCCCCAATTTTATACTTACATCATATATCATAGTACGTGCATTTTTACATTTTCTCCTTTACATTATTGTTAATCTGTAATTATCATTTACTACCTGAATCCAAACACATGACATCTATGTGATATACAGTAAAACCTGTATATCTGAACAACTCTTGAATCCGAACACATGACATCTATGTGATATACAGTAAAACCTGTATATCGGAACACCTCTCAATGTGAACACTTTTTCTCTGTCCCACATTTGTTTTCTCCCATTGATTTACATGTTAATCAAACCTTGAAATGTGAACACCTACTAATCCAAATACTTTTGTCCCAATAGCATTCAGACTATACAGGTTTTACTATATGTAACATTAATGACTTTAGTTGCTCTAAACAGTTAAACCAAAACACATCCTTATGTGATCACCTGAACCACAACCCTTGCTGTATGGAAAAACTAGATATAAGCAGATTAAACAAGAAAAAAACATTACTCTTGACAATAAACAAAACTTATATTTATTACACATACTGGGATTATATCACTTAATACATGAAATTGTACACGATGTATTTTAATTCATTTATACTTACTCTATTTCGACCATGGAAGTTAGGAATATTTACAATTACAAGTATTAATGTTGTGACATCATACGCCAAAACAAAGTATTCTTGACTAATAACACCTAAGGCTGTGACAATAAAACTAAACGAGACATACTTTGCATACCTAAGCACATAACACAGCTTTGAAGCAAGTGATTACACTCGTTAAACTTGTTAAAGATGGATTTCTAAGTAAGCCAGTGGACATTAATTGCTACTTAAACTTCCCGACTTTACATCTTGCAAGTGTACTCTAAATGGGACAAATCACGCCACCTATTGGTACACTCTCTGGGATAAATCACGCCACCTATTGGTCAAAACTCTCAAGGACAAATCACGCCACCTAATGGTCAACATGCTCGGAGACAAATCACGCCACCTATTGGTTAAGACTCTCCTGGACAAATCACGCCACCTATTGGGATACTAAAAGGTGTTACTTAACATATTGGAAATTGGGGTTAATTAATCCTATTAAGTCATTAACCCATTTATTCTCTTTTATTCAAATGAAGTTTGTAGTCATGAACATATTTTTCTCTAGTGGCAGAGTGCATATGGAAAGTTATGCACTCATGAAGAAATTAAAAAAAATACTGAACTGGTATAGAAAGAAAAGGGTCTTCTATTGCTCAGGACATAAAATATTCTATATTTTCTAATTATTTGACATTCAATATATGAAAGCATCAAAGGATTAACACATTTATAAATTAGCAACCCTCCCTGTCCTGTCTCCCCCCCAGTATCATGCCCCTGTGTTGCTCCAACAGCCCCTTCTCTCTCAACAAAAAATCTTGAAAAATAAATGAGGGGACCAAAATGCAACACTACTTGGCCCCTTCTATCAGATTGGAGAACGTATCACTGAGATAGAATGCAACACAACTGGGCCCCTTCTATCAGATTGGAGAACGTATCACTGAGATAGAATGCAGCCACCGAGTCACCTGAATTGACCAGACCATAATACCATTTTTTCATTATTCATAATTATTGTAATTCATAAAAGCTTCATAAAAACTACTGCTTTTTCTATCCATCTGTGCAAAAACAAGCTATTATAATCAATTCTAAACAAGAACTTTGAAGAGATTCCAAATTCCTAAAGCACATTGCTTTGTCATTAAAGTGACTAATGAGAGAGAAATTAGGAATAGAGATAATTATACTTGAAACATTGTAATTGTTTGATAGGATAATGCATTAGATGCAGGATCAGGGACAATAGGAGGAACATGTAGATACATATAAACACATAGCATATAGACTATATTTAGAAATGAGGAAGTGTTTGTATGCTAATGAATGTATAGAAAAGGTTAAAGTAGTCCCGAAACAATAGCCACCCGAGATGAAGGTCACCTACAGTGTATAATTGTCTTAATTACTTATGCAAGTATTAGTGTTATTTAAATAGAACAAAAAATGAGATTCTTAAAATGATGAGACTGATATTCATTTTATATTAAACATTTAAGATTATTTTATTAATTAAAATTACAGCTCTTCATATTTTTCCGCATAAACCAATTGAAACTTCCCGGAAAGTATGGGTTATTGAGATAATACCATCTCAATTAGTTTCATTGAACACTCTCGGAAAACAAAATTAAATAATGAAATACAGGGAAATAATAAAATAATTTGGCAAGATATCAGAATCCGGGATGGCATGAATTATGTGTAAATACAATTAAATATATAATGTGTACTTGTTTGATTCCCTTACAAAAACCTGCCTCATAATAAAATATATGAATATGATTGCTGATAATAATATGAAAATGATAATCCCTAATGAGTTCGAGTGAATGGAAAATTGAGCAGAAAAAGAGAAACTTATACAAGAAAGACTTATGATAAAAACAAAATTCTGATTTAGAAAGTGAATTAGAAATGATATATTAAATACATACATTTGTAATTAATCACTAATTATGGCTGCTGGGGAATGACGAAGCATTTTTCTAGCTTTTTCTCACATAACTTCAGCCAAAATATATTTTTTATTGATACAAACAAACAAAACATAAAGTATTAAGTCTATTTAATATATATGACGTGATTGGCTTTGCTTTACAATTGTTGCCCTTTGTGCTTTCCTATGAGGATGTTTACAAACATGAAACAAACTCATTTTTAAAACATTTCAAAACACCTGTTTGATTGTTGCATGTTTACATGAAATGTGATAAAATCTTATCAGATATGTGCAGATATATGATTCCAATTGATAAGACCAAAATATAATACAGCAATATATAGCA